TAAGTGTAATTACTTAAGTGTAGTTACAGGATGAGAGCTACGCTCGTGGTGTCCCGTCTTCCCAGCACTCTTTATCATATAACGCTTTGAAACTACTGACGGTCTTGGCTTACACCACCTTCTCACCTAACTTGTTCCAACCGTCTACCACTCTATTTGCGAAAGTGAATTTTCTTATATTTCTTCAGCATCTGTGTTTAGCTAGTTTAAATCTATGACCTCTTGTTCTTGAAGTTCCAGGTCTCAGGAAATCTTCCCTGTCGATTTTATCAATTCCTGTTACTATTTTGTACGTAGTGATCATATCACCTCATTTTCTTCTGTCTTCTAGTTTTGGCATATTTAATGCCTCTAACATGTGTTGTGGTCCTCTTCCGGTGTTAGCGTGCCCCGGTTTCTGTGTCTGGGGGACGGTCTTTGGGTTGCTCCATTTCTCTTTGGTTGTTGTCTCGTGGACCTTCCTGGGCCGATTCGACCCTGTGTTGCTTTGGGTTGGCGGTTGCAGCCAGTTGTCTCGCTTTGTGTTGAGGGGTGCATGGTGACCGCCTCCTGGATCCATCCCTTAGACCTTCCTTTGTGGGTAGTTAGCTCCGGGGAGCCAACAGGGCTCCCCGCAGAAAACCAGCGTTGAATGTAATGAAACGCCATTTTCTGGGTGAGACCTGGAGGCTCCCCGGCAACCCTCCCTCCCTCCCTCCGGTTGGCGATTTTTCACGTGTTTTGACATCCAGCCTCAGAACTGATGGGTGGATAGCCGGCGTGAGAGGTATGGGGCTCCCCCTTCCCCCTCCTGGGGAGGGGGGAGCTGCGCAGACAGCGGCGCAGTGATGTGTGACATCATACTAGTTTGCTTGTTTTCTGTTTGGGAGTTCTCTCCACTAGTTCGGCTTTTGGTAGCAATTTTAACCAGAAAAGGGGTTTGTTTTGGGACGCTTACCTTTCTGGATGCCTGACCCGGCCGATGGCAGACATAGAATGCTTCCAACCACACGGGGGTTTCTATAGGCCATTGCTCCCCTTGCCTCTCTGAGGGGGCCAGGTTCTGGCCGTGGTCCGCAGTAGGCCCTAAGAACTCCATACATATGACTGATGCCAAAGTCTGACATTAGCATATCGGCCTGGGATAGCTTCCGGGAGCCTCCGGGTCTCACCCCGAAAATGGCATTTCATTACATTCAAAGCTGGTTTTTTGTTTTGGAGTATAAACTTTCTCAACACAGTTTTCAGTACAGTACAACCTCGATTCAACGTACTATATGGGACCACCCCCAGTTCGTTGGAGCGTTGGATTCGTTGCAAGAGGTGACCTTCAAGAGGCGTTTGCGTCAGTGTCTTTTTTTTTTCTTGTACACAATAAAAATGCATTGTATCATATTACTTACTGTACCTATATTTTACTACTCTACTAAAAATTCTGTAATTCATGTATTTACCTTATTGTTGGAGTTATGTCCATCTTGAAGTTTTGTGAAGTTGTGAATGCTCTACAGTAAATAGGTACTGCAGTGCATTAAGCCGTTAGCACTGTATTATTAAAAGTGGTTTTGCTGTATGTTGAGTACTACAATACAGTTCTTGAAAACTATTGTACATTAGAATTATTGCAACTTTAATTTTAACACTATGTACACACTTGAATTAACACTTATTCTAATTGTTCACTTCACACACGATGTTTTTAGATGTTTGCATCAGCTTTGCTGGTGCTCGCTGCTGCTGTGTTGGCTTCAGCTGCTTTTGTGCTGGTGCTGGGTACAGCTGTGCTGGTGCTGGGTACGGCTGTGCTGGTGCTGGGTACGGCTGTGCTGGTGCTGGGTACGGCTGTGCTGGTGCTGGGTACGGCTGTGCTGGTGCTGGGTACGGCTGTGCTGGTGCTGGGTACAGCTGTGCTGGTGCTGGGTACGGCTGTGCTGGTGCTGGGTACGGCTGTGCTGGTGCTGGGTACAGCTGTGCTGGTGCTGGGTACGGCTGTGCTGGTGCTGGGTACGGCTGTGCTGGTGCTGGGTACGGCTGTGCTGGTGCTGGGAACGTCAACAGTGCCAATAACATTTTGTATAATCTCATCATCTGTTAAATGACCATTGATTAAATGATTTATTAATTTTATTATTTCGAAGCCGTAGTCACTGAACTGTGGCGACGAATTGAAACGAGAAACGCATGGTGTGTACAGGGATTAGACCCGTCCACTCGCTCACGCTGGAGTTGTTCCAATAACAAATAATTTCTCAAATAGCAGATGTCTATCATATTACAGTATATTTTCGGTTTTATTTAGTTTAGTTTAATTAGGATAATAAAAAGCTATTAAAGCATTGGTTTTAGAAATGATTTATTAGTCTGAAACTTTCAAAGTCATGGGTCACTGAACTATAACGACACAGACGAAGGAAAACCAAGTGAGGTTTACAGAACAGTATTCCCTTATCTGTCCACCCTCACTCACCTTGTTTTATCACAGAAAATGTCTATAAGGAGATTTTACGACATGTAGCTAGCTAATCACGCTTCAGCCTTTAAATTAATTTACAAAGATACGTCTGCCACAAATCAGTGGGAGGTTGGGAGGGAGGTGGGCAGGCAGAGCTTGTAAGGGAGAGGCAGGGAGGGAGGCAGGCACGGAGGAAGACAGGCACGGAGGGAGGCTGGCAGAGCTTGGGAGGGAGGCAGGGAAGGAGAGGATGGAGATGGATTGATGGTAGGATGGAGGGAGGAATGGATGATTTGAGGGTGTGTGTATGGGCTGTAGGGGTGGGGGGGGGGAGGTGTGTCGGTGGTGGTGAAGGGACCGACTCGCTGATAACCCTAACTCTGACCCAGTTAACTTTTTTTTTTTAACTTGATTTGTTTCTTCAATTCTGGATGGATGGAGGGAGAAAGGGGATGGAGGGAGGGGATGGATGGAGGGAGGGAGGGGATGGATGGATGGATGGAGGGGGGATGGATGGAGGGAGGGGATGGATGGAGGGAGGGAGGGGATGGATGGATGGATGGAGGGGGGATGGATGGAGGGAGGGGATGGATGGAGGGAGGGAGGGGATGGATGGATGGATGGAGGAAGGGAGGGGATGGATGGAGGGAGGGAGGGGATGGATGGATGGATGGAGGGAGGGGATGGATGGATGGATGGAGGGAGGGGATGGATGGATGGAGGGAGGGAGGGGATGGATGGATGGATGGAGGGAGGGGATGGATGGATGGATGGAGGGAGGGGATGGATGGATGGATGGAGGGAGGGGATGGATGGATGGATGGAGGGAGGGGATGGATGGATGGATGGAGGGAGGGGATGGATGGATGGATGGAGGGAGGGGATGGATGGATGGATGGAGGGAGGGGATGGATGGATGGATGGATGGAGGGAGGGGATGGATGGATGGATGGAGGGAGGGAGGGAGGGGATGGATGGATGGAGGGAGGGGACGGATGGATGGATGGAGGGAGGGGATGGATGGATGGATGGTGGGAGGGAGGGGATGGATGGATGGATGGATGGAGGGAGGGGATGGATGGATGGATGGATTGGGGGGAGATGGATGGATGGATTGGGGGGAGATGGATGGATGGAGGGGATGGATGGATGGATGGATGGATTGGGGGGAGATGGATGGATGGAGGGGATGGATGGATGGATGGAGGGAGGGGATGGATGGATGGATGGATGGATGGAGGGAGGGGATGGATGGATGGATGGATGGATGGAGGGAGGGGATGTATGGATGGATGGAGGGAGGGGATGGATGGTGGGAGGGAGTGGATGGATGGTGGGAGGGAGGGGATGGATGGATGGATAGATGGATGGATGGAGGGGATGGATGGATGGATGGAGGGGAAGGATGGATGGATGGATGGATGGAGGGAGGGAGGGGATGGATGGATGGATGGAGGAAGGGGATGGATGGATGGATGGAGGAAGGGGATGGATGGATGGATGGAGGGAGGGAGGGGATGGATGGATGGATGGATGGATGGATGGATGGATGGATGGAGGGAGGGAGGGGATGGATGGATGGAGGGAGGGGATGGATGGATGGATGGATGGAGGGAGGGATGGTGGGAGGGAGGGGATGGATGGATGGAGGGAGGGGATGGATGGATGGATGGATGGATGGAGGGGATGGATGGATGGATGGAGGGGAGGATGGATGGATGGAGGGAGGGGATGGATGGATGGAGGGAGGGGATGGATGGATGGAGGGAGGGGATGGATGGATGGATGGATGGAGGGAGGGAGGGGATGGATGGATGGAGGGAGGGGATGGATGGATGGAGGGAGGGGATGGATGGATGGAGGGAGGGGATGGATGGATGGAGGGAGGGATGGATGGATAGATGGAGGGAGGGGATGGATGGATGGAGGGGATGGATGGATGGAGGGAGGGGATGGATGGAGGGAGGGGATGGATGGATGGAGGGAGGGGATGGATGGATGGAGGGAGGGGATGGATGGATGGACGGGATGGATGGAGGGAGGGGGATGGATGGATGGAGAGAGAGAGAGAGAGAGAGAGAGAGAGAGAGAGAGAGAGAGAGAGAGAGAGAGAGAGGGGGGGGAGAGAGAGAGAGAGAGAGAGGAGAGAGAGAGAGAGGGGGGGGGGGGAGAGAGAGAGAGAGAGAGAGGGAGAGAGAGAGAGATTTAACATACAGGTACTTTTTGTATCTTATTTACTTTTAAACTTCCCCTATACCTTTGTGTAACCTGGGACACCACTTACAGCCCTCAATCTGTTCCCAATACTACTTAGGTAATGGGATATTCCTGGAGCCTGTTGCAGTGTGACACCTGCCTCCTGGCACTGCGTTGTGTGACTGGTATGCAGTTTGATGGCTGCCTTATTTTACCTATGTATCTTTGTTTTATTGCAGAAGAAGGTTTACGGTATTGGAATACTACAAAAATTAATCCCCATTTGGGAACTTTTTACTAGATTTCAAAGAATCTGTATTTGGTATTCTGAGACTTTAAAGATTTGATAATCTCTCAATCTTTTCTTTCACAGCTCCTACTGTCACCGAAAGAATAATATCTGCAGTGCCAGCACCCAGTGGCATTAGATCTCATGTGAGTGTCACATATACTGCATACATGATACGTCAGCACACTCATGAATCACGGTGTCAGATATACTGCATACATGTTCATGTATTATCAATATCTTATGCAATATGGCACTATGGTAACACATCTGAAACACTGTGCAAGCATTATCATCTCATGCACTATGGCAACAAAGGAAATGTGTATTTAAATACAAATTTGGTGTATCATTAATTTTAAAATTTCAGTATTTATTAATTTGTGTGTATGTGCTACAGATATTTATGGTTTTAATATTTTTGTTTGTCAAGAAAACATTTTAAGATTGGTAAATTAATTATTTTTTCAAGGTACTTTTATTCTCAGGTCCTAATGTAAAAAAGTTTTATATTTTTTTTTTTTTTAAACGTTACACACTTTTCTCCTATGTGAGCTACTGTAAATGTTGAGAGAGCATTTAAAAAATATAATCTTAAAGCTATATACATGACAATTATGAATTTTTTTCTTTGGTAATTTACTGTCTAAGCTCAAAAAGCTTTCCAAGTAAGATAATTTATAGTAAGGGATTTAAAGATGGTATGGGATTAAAAAATATTATCAGCATGCACATGGTACTTTAGATCGGTAATTTCTTGTAAAAATCACACACATATTTACACAAATGACAAACCACATGAGGGGCCCATTGTACCTGACCCTTGTGCTGCGGCTATATTTATAACAAGACAATCATCAATTGTGTGGGTATTTATAATAAGACAGCCATCAGTTTTGTGGTTATTTATAAGAAGACATCCATTAGTTTTGTGCATATTTATAATAAGACATCCATCAGTTGTGTTGGTATTTATAATAAGACATCCATCAGTTGTGTTGGTATTTATAATAAGACATCCATCAGTTGTGTTGGTATTTATAATAAGACATCCATCAGTTGTGTTGGTATTTATAATAAGACATCCATCAGTTCTGTGGGTATTTATAATAAGACATCCCTCAGTTCTGTGGGTATTTATAATAAGACATCCATCAGTTCTGTGGGTATTTATAATAAGACATCCATCAATTCTGTGGTTATACTTGTAATAAGACATCCCAAATTCTTTGATTATATTTATAATAAGGCATTTCTCAGTTCTGTAGTTATGTTTATAATGAAACATCTCGATACTGTGGCTGTATTTATAATAAGACATCCCACAGTGCTGTTTCTCTATGTTTCTGCCCGAAACGCTGCGCGTGCTAGTGGCTTTACAAGACTGTAATTACCATAATTGTATCCTCACATTCCTTATGTACATTCTTGTATATGCATAAATAAATAAATAAATAAATAAATAAATAAATAAATGTATAATGAAACACCCTTCAGTGCTGGACCTATATTTATAATAAGACGTAATACATTTATATAACATAATATAAATACGTGTACTGTGATATTTTTTGACGATACAGACATTTAAATTCAAAAAAACTTCCCACAGGACTTGTTTGGCATGTTTACAAAGTTGTACACAGACACTTAACTTTCCTACTGGTGAATGCATGTTGAAAAGTACATTTGGATATTTGATCTTACACTTGGTGATTCACAGGAAATATTGTAGAGTATATTTTATGTTTTGCATATTTTCTAATTTAATAAGCATAGTATTATGTTACTATTTATGAATAATACAAGTGGTTTACATATTGTAAAAATTTTCCGTTCTCTTATTTGACAAGTAAATTACTTTATATTCCTACGAAAGAGAATTAGATTAATCCAATTGCTTATTTGATATTGAGAACCATCTGTTGACAACAGAGACAACACTGTAACCCGGGTGCTCTATTATGGTTGTTCTATACCGATTGCTCTATATTGATTGCTCTGTACTGATTGCCATGTAGTAACTTTAATTATTTATACATCCGACAGTCCAGCTGTTTTCTTGCATTTTTAAGAATCTTTGCTTTAGTAATAAACAAAAGCTCATGCATTTTAGGTCATATCATGAATATGTTATTAAGATTTTTCTCTTAATATCAATAATACAAGAATTTATTTAGGAGAAAATACTAATAATAGTCTATAAGACAACTAACGAAATGTAGGATATTTCATTAGATAATACGTAGGGTTTTGGGATCAAATAACTTGAAAGGTCTATACATTCAACTAAACTGTGCAAATATTTATTCAAAAGAAAAACGTCATCAGTGTTGAATGTTCAAAATTACATTATAAAAACTTCTTGAATAATACCATACACAAACATTTATATACTGTAGAAGAAAATCAACATTAAATATTCATTCTCTAAACTACTTTACAAAATATAAAAATTTAAATATGAGCACCCATTCAGGAGAAAAGTCATATTACTGTAGAGTATGTCTAAAAAATTTTAAATATAAATCATTGCTAATAACCCACATGAGGAATCATACAAGAGAGAAACCATATCACTGTTCAGAGTGTCAAAAAGGCTTTACACTAAAATCAAATCTAATAACCCACATGAGGATACATGCTGGAGAAAAACCATATCACTGTTCAGAGTGTCAAAAAGGCTTTTCAAGAAAATATCATTTAGTAACACACATGAGGATACATGCTGGAGAAAAACCATATCACTGTTCTGAGTGTCAAAAAGACTTTTCACAAAAATCATGTCTAATAACACACATGAGGATTCATACATGAGAAAAACCCTATCACTGTTCTGAGTGTCAAAAAGACTTTTCACGAAAATCAAGTCTAATAACACACATGAGGATTCATACAGGAGAAAAACCATATCATTGTTCAGTGTCAAAAAGACTATTCACTAAAATCACATCTAATAAGACACATGAGGATACATGCTGGAGAAAAACCATATCATTGTTCAGAGTGTCAAAAAGACTTTTCACTAAAGTCAAGTCTAATAAGACACATGAGGATTCATACAGGAGAGGAACCATATCACTGTTCAGAGTGTCAAAAAGTCTTTAAACTAAAATCAGTTCTAGTAGAACACACACGGATTCATACAGGAGAAAAACCATATCACTGTTTTGAGTGTCAAAAAGACTTTTCACAAAAATCAAGTCTAATAACACACATGAGGATTCATACAGGAGAAAAACCATATCACTGTTTTGAGTGTCAAAAAGACTTTTCACAAAAATCAGGTCTAATAACACACATGAGGATTCATACAGGAGAAAAACCATATCACTGTTCTGAGTGTCAAAAAGACTTTTCACTAAAATCACATCTAATAACACACATGAGGACTCATACAGCAGAAAAACCATATCACTGTTCTGAGTGTCAAAAAGACTTTTCACTAAAATCAGGTCTAATAAGACACATGAGGATACATACTGGAGAGAACCCATATCACTGTTCTGAGTGTCAAAAAAACTTTTCACGAAAATCAAGTCTGATAACACACATGAGAATTCATACAGGAGAAAAACCATATCATTGTTCAGAGTGTCAAAAAGACTTTTCAATAAAATCAAGTCTAATAAGACACATGAGGATTCATACAGGAGAGGAATTATGACATTGTTCAGAGTGTTAAAAAGATTTTTCACTAAAATCAGTTCTAGTAGAACACACAGATTCATACAGGAGAAAAACCATATCACTGTTCTGAGTGTCAAAAAGATCCTATTAAAGCATATTAGGATTCAAACAGCATAAATGCAATTTGAATATTGTCTGTCTAAAATGCTTTTCATGTAAATAAAGTACAGTAAGACATTCAACATGATAGAATTTACATTTAATTATTCCTAATAGTTAATAAGAGTACAAAAGCCATTCAGTAACTGGAGCAGTTTCTTTGTACAGTATTGTCATTGTGGAGTGTAGTGTAGTGTTTTGTGTTGTCATTTTCTGCCACATTATTTTGACTTGGTTCTGGAATGATTTTTGTTGCAATGATAAGCTTTCTCCAAAGCAAATATGGTCTCACGTGGATACAGTACAGGCATACCTCAGTTTAAGAGTTTAATTGGTTCCTGGAGATGCCTCGTATTCCGAAAACTCGCATTCCGAAGCTAATTTCCCCATAAGAAATAAAGGGAAATGAATTAATCCGTTCCTGACTACCCCAAAAACCCCACATCAAACTAAATTTTTATACCTAATTCATCTAAATAAACCTACAAAACTTTGTTCAAGTTATTACTTACCTTGCCGTTGAATGCTGTAGGCGTATGGAAGATGGTGAGGAGGTGGGAGGAAGAGAGGAGTTACTGTTTGGAAGGGGTGGCAAATACTTGAGTCTGTGTGCTAGGAAGCCTTCAGTGTGAGCGAGGCGTGGAGTACCAGCATGCTGCAACAGTGGGTTTATGATGGGCCGCTGAATATCACATCAGGCAGTGAGGACTTCACTGGTATGCACACTCTGGCACATTTTGCCTGCATACCACTAGGACTTGCTTGTTTTACTAAGAATTTGTCTAATGACACTTGTTTTTCCCCTACATTTTAACACTTGTCTGTAGTAAGACATCACATTATCATTTAAAAGGTCAATGCAACGGCCTGCTACAGCTTTATCTGGGTGAGTTTGTTTCAACAAAACTTTGCAGTTCTTCCCATACTTCACACATTTTCTTAATCAAGAAGGGACATCCTCTACTGCCTCTACTCACAGCTATTTTCTTAGGTTGAACCTTACTAATGGCTTTCTTGAGACCCATGGCAAGATATATAATGACAACTTTTATGCTCAAATGGCCAAAAAACCGATAAAAAAACTGTAAATCCTTGTGAAGAATTCAGGTGGGATAGTCACTGGACACGAGACACTGGTAAACTGAGGCGCGATCGCCATGCCACCACGCGCCAGTCGGCCTGTACACGTATCCAACAAACTCGCGTCCCGAGGTAACCCTCGCCTTCCGAGACATATTTTTGGAGTAAATCCTGCTCGTCTTCCGAAAAACTCGCATACAGGGACACTCGCATTCCGAGGTACCACTGTAGTCCACATTGGGGTAAACCAGTAACTAGTATGTTGGAGTAACCACTTTCTTTTCTTTGAAGTCAGTTTGTTTTGAGTATTTTTTTGTGTGTGTGTGTGTGTGTGTGTGTGTGTACTCACCTAGTTGTACTCACCTAGTTGTGCTTGCGGGGGTTGAGCTCTGGTTCTTTGGTCCCGCCTCTCAACAGTCAATCAACAGGTGTACAGGTTCCTGAGCCTATTGGGCTCTATCATATCTACACTTGAAACTGTGTATGGAGTCAGCCTCCACCACAATGCTTCCTAATGCATTCCATTTGTCAACCACTCTGACACTAAAAAAGTTCTTTCTAATATCTCTGTGGCTCATTTGGGCACTCAGTTTCCACCTGTGTCCCCTAGTGCGTGTGCCCCTTGTGTTAAACAGCCTGTCTTTATCAACCCTGTCGATTCCCTTGAGAATCTTGAATGTGGTGATCATGTCCCCCCCTAACTCTTTTGTCTTCCAACGAAGTGAGGTTTAATTCCCGTAGTCTCTCCTCGTAGCTCATACCTCTCAGCTTGGGTACTTGTCTGGTGGCAAACCTTTGAACCTTTTCCAGTTTAGTCTTATGCTTGACTAGCTATGGACTCCATGCTGGAGTC